TGTATACGTGTCCTGACTTTTCCTTTACTAATTACAGCGTTCAAGTCAATGTTAGCAGATTAATAATGGTGTTAAGTGTAAGCTGCACTTTTCCTGATTTCTAAGTAAGTCTGGCAGAGCACCTGTTGTATACTCAGCTCAGCCTAATGAATAACTTCACAGTCAAATTCTAAGATTTAGGGATTAAAAAAAAAATCTGGAATGCATAAACAGAAAAAAAAAAGTAATGATGTCTTCCATGTGCTGTATGGATACTTTACAAAGTACTTCAAGCTTGGTGATTGAAACAGATGCACTTACAACTTCTTCTGTGTTGTCAAAACTTAGTTCACTCAAAAGATATTGAAGACTGGTAATATATACTTCAAGCGAAGAATTAGAACAAACTGTTACTTTGCCAAGATGTGCTGTAGCTGGGATTATTTTTTTTCTTTTAAATTTCTCACCTTTTTTGACTGGTTCTGGATGCAGGAAGGAGCAACCAGCTGAATCTGGTACCCGAATTTATGAGCGGGTAAGAGGCCCTTTGTACTACAAATGGCCAGTTCAATCCAGGGATGACTTTTTAAAGGTATTGCGTACAAGGTGCTTTCGAAAAAGCCTGTTTGGCACCTATCTGCGTCGTCACGGACTTGGTGAGAAATTCTGTTTTTCCAAATCTAACCCATAGTACCTCTGCACCTGAGCATCGTAGTCCCTGACCAGAGGGGAAGCTCTTCAGCCTGTCCTGTAAAAGGTTTTTGCAAACAAGTGAGCTGAAGCGTGAGAGAGGCACTAGCAGCGGTTTGACTCAAAAAGCCACGTGGCAATCTGCAGACACAGACTAGTCCATGGTCTCTTACATTCTCAAAGTTTATTTCACACTGCAAAATTCTTCTTGTTACAAAAGCAAAACAGGATAATTTGAAGCTCGGTCAGTTTAGTGCTTTTTCACTCATAAAAGCAAATTTTATTCCACCCAGCAGATCTGCAGGTGGAAAATATAAGTGCAATATGCAGATTCAAGAAAACATTATTTAGATCACTTCATTTTATCTTACAACATAGGAAAGCAAAGGTGGCTTCTTAACAAAAGCAATTTCAGAACTATATTTGTAAATACTAAAATTCAAAGTAACTCTCTTTTAACTTTTCTTCCCAGATAAACTATTCGTCAGTGGGCTAAGTTTGCGAAGGACTCACTGTTAAGTATTTTGCCACCCCACTGGTGTGATGTGTCAGTATTTTATCTGACCTCCCCCAATCATTAATAGACAGCGTCCTCTTCCCTGCCTGTGGGTGGTTCCTTGTTTAACAGCCTTCTCTAGTAATGTTATAAAGTGTGTGTTAATAGCCTGGGGCGGTGTAAACAATTGGAAATGTAAGTGGGGGAACTTTGACCAGCTCGGCATTGTTTCAAAGTCAGTTTTGTCTCGTGAAGAATTACAGTTTGTCTTCAGAGCTTCAGGAAATTCCTTATGCCCAAAAGTAGGAGCATACGTGCAATAAACAGGATTCAATCCTTGCAATTAATTTTTTAATGTAATACTGTAATTAGACATTAAATTTATTATGTTGAAGGATTCTAATGGCTGTTCTGTCTGTAATAGGAGACTTGCTGCTTGCTGTAGCCAAAATACAGGTGTCCTTCAAGACCATGATCATTTCCTTTATGGGTTGATCTTAGAGGCTTGGTTGGTTGGTTGATTGTTTTTAAGAGTGGTAGAGGCTGTAGATTTTATTAATTAGCCACAAAATTGTGTTGATGCTCAGCATGAAAGCATACTCTTTTTTTACTTTGACCTTGGCTAGCAGAGCCAAAAACTTAACAGGTCAAAACAGCTCCATCAGATGCTGCTGATTTAATGTCTAATAAGTTTGCAAGTCAGGATGTTTCTACAGTAGTCACAAACATTTTACCTTTCACGTTTCCTCTTGCTTTCTTTGCCAATGGTTTCTCCTGAGGTAGAATTGTTATTTTTGTTATGAGATAGTCCTTGGCTAGCACTCAATGGTTTCCAATTCAATCTCTTCAGTTGTACTTGCTGCAAATAAAAGGATATTATTATTGATTGGCAAATGGATTGGAAGGCCAGTGCTCCAAAATTAACCACACTGTGTTAATAGCCAAGACATTTTGAACTTTTTAATATTAGCTCAAGCTTACTTATATACACTTAGGGTTTCAATAACATCTTTTCAAAATATTTAACTGCATAAAGAGTCCTTCACAATCTTTAAGGTAACACCGGTTTCTTCCAACACAAGACTAAAGGCACTACAAAAACTAAAGTCCATAGGGCCTGTCTTTGTATCTCTCTTCATGACTCCTGAAAGGAGGGCTCTTCTAAGGTGGAATTGGGGCAGAAGTTAGGTCCCTGCTTCAGATCATGTTCTGGGAGATGACAGAGCAAATCTCCAGAACTGTGGTTTTCCTGAACTCTGCCAAATAATTGTACTCGATTCAGCTCTGTAGGAAGATTGGCTTTAACTGGAGGAAGAAGAGACTTTATCCAAACAAAAGCCTGTATATTCTGGCATGATAGGAAAATTTTCAGTAGCTACAGAAGCTTGTGAGGGTGTGTGCACCATGAAAACAGCAGCAGCCCTTGGAGCCTTAGGTGAGTGGCAGAATGGAAGAGACAGCTCGAGCCCAATTCGTCTCTTCTCATATCAGGTTTTGCAGAGTTGACAAAAAGTCTGGGCCATGAGGCTTAGGATTCCTGAGTATCTGTTTTGGTCTAGTAAAATACTGATACTTAGGCTGCTTATTGTAACATAACAGCTTAAGCAGCGCTTATTAGAGAAGAAATAGAGACCTTTTACCTACAGGGCAAGAAACCACTAGTGGATCTGCACTTACAAAGAAGGAAGGTAAACGCCTGAAATGTTTTGAAGTGGTAAAAGAAACTTCCCGTTCCAAGGATGTGCCCAGAACTTCAGCCCAGGCCCGTAGCGTGGCACTTCGTCTTGCTACCTAGGCCAAACATCCCTGGCTGTGGCTTGGAAATTTCTTCTCTAATATGCGAATGTTCCCTTCAGTGCAGCCCTTGCGTTCCCTTGATCTGCTTTTAATGACCGCTATCTTTGGCGTGTGTTAGGAGTCTGGTTTTGCTATTAGTCAGTGTTTGCTGGAGTCCACAACTGGGTCAAAGGAGAGGACAATGAAAGGGGGGTTTGAGAGGAGAGGGAGGGATGCAATCGTCCATGAAGTGAGGTGGGGGCTGCTCCCAAGGGCCATTTGAGTATTTTCCCCTAGGAGATACCCTTCTGGTGCAGACCCCGAGAGCGTTGCTGATGCTCTTGACTGTCTCCTGCCCTCTGATGGGGGGTTATTGCAGCTCTGGCCTTTTCTCCCAAAGTTTTGCAGTTAGCAATGTTGGGAAGTGTTCTGTGGTTTCTGATGTAAAATGTATAAGGTAGATGTCCTGTGGATCGTTCTGCAACTAAATACCTGTTACTCAGTTGCCTCAGCTAGTAAAGAGTTGAACAGGATAACTGAATTGAGCCCTTCCAGACTTGTTTCTCAGTGTCGTGCTTAGCACCTTTATGGCTCAAATCACAGGTGAATTTTAGGCTTAAAATTCAGACTTGAAAACCCTATACCTTGACTGCATTCTTAGAGAGATACCTGTTAGTTTGTGTGTCGTCTTCTTCTGAAATAGATGCAGAGATTTATTACACAGCCACATGAAGCAGACCAAAATGGCAGATACTGCAGCAAGAAAGGCAAAGAGAACTGCTACAAAATGTAAGTCTTCGTAGATAACCTCTGCAGGCAGGACAGAAAAAAATTAATATTATAAAACTGATTACAAGCAGATTAATGTTTAAACACAGAGTAAGCCAACAACTTCCATCTAGTTTGTACCGTAAACGTTGACTATGATGGTGCCGTAGGTGTTGGTTCCATACTCCTCCGTTACAGTGACAAAATAGTAGCCGGCGTCTCTCATGCCCACGTTCAGAAGCTGTATAGAGCCATTCTCAAAAGTAGTCACCCTGTCCTTGTAGATCGTGGATATGTTGACATAATTTCCACTTTTCCACTCAACAATTTTGGTGGTGCCCCAGCTCGACACATGCTTCCACTCGACGGTGGCGATGCCTCTGCAAGAGTATTCAACTGAGAGGAGGATGTTTTGTGCCACCGTTGCGTTGATGTTGGGTTGTGGGACAACTAACGATACTCCTCCAGGAGCTGAAAGACAAAGGAGGGTGAGAAGTGTGGAGGCGATGCTGCACCAAGTGTCCAGGGCAGGATGGGACCTCTGGGGCGTAAGCCATCCTACCAATCTCAGCGGTCTGTTTTAAGAGAGGACGGATTATGCTTTGCAGTTTCTCTTTCTTTCTGCTGACCATAAAAGGAACATAAAGACTAAATACACATTTTTAATTGGTGATAGGAGAAGCGTTTCAGCCATACAGGACAAGTAATTGTATGTGTTTCAGTGCTTTGATACCCAAGAGGAGAGAGTTTGGAAGAGTCTTTTTGGGTAGGGGAGCATAACATTTTTCTGAAAACTGTACAATGCTTTTGTATTCATCAGCAACAGGCTTTCCTTTAAAATCCTGCATTTAAATGGAAAGTTTAATCGGTATGGCCAAGGTAAGCTATTATATTAATTAATTGCCATCCCCCAAAAGCAAGAACTGTAGCAGGCTTAAGTATGTGAGGACTTGGCAAAGACTTCATCGTGTTTTCAGGATGTGTAATCAACGTTTGAGACGACAGCTTTGTGAAGGCAGCCAGTTATATCCCAGTGCAGATAAATCGCATCTAATCAAAGATACACAGTTTCGTGCGAAGTCAGGGACTTCATGTTCTTTTTCTAGGCAAAAATGCACATGAAAGAATATTTAATTGTCACCTAGTTCCTACTGATGCCATTACAGAGCTGTTCATACCACCGTGAAACTGAACTGACCATTTAGTTTAATGTGTATCTGCAATAATTTCTGCGTGCGTGTGGGTGTTTCTGCATGAAGATTTGGATGAACACCAAACATCTCGGTTTCAATTGGCATTTTTTTTTTTTTTTTAAAATAATTAGTAGCATGTTTGAGACACTTGGCTAGAGACTGAAATCCTGTTATCTACCAGCAAACATCAAACCAGACGAAAGGCAGGTAAAGCACAGAGTAAGCCTGACCACCGAATGCCTCTCCTGGTGTGGCTTGGAGCAGCTCACCCGCTCTCCTCTCATACTGTGGGATCAGCCTGACTGCAAGAGCAGAACTGAAAAAATGATGCTGAGCTGCAAATGCCTGTAACCCAGCGGGAAGGGAGGACGAGCGCCTCAGCTATGCTGAAGGAGCGCAAAGCCAGACCCCTGGGGATGGTCCTGGAGGTTCTGCAGACTCTTCAGGGAAAAGAATGGTTAAAAAAGGCAAAGAAAATATCTCCAAGGGGAAGAAACTATTTTTTAAAATCTTATAAAAAGATAAGACCTGCCCCGCCCCCATGGCCAAAACCCCAGAGCAACCACAAATGGGGAGAGATGGAGAAATGAACTCCAAGCTGACTTTGCTCTATTTGGGATCTGTAGCAGAATTCAGAAACTCTGCTGGGCAAAGTAAGGCTGGGAGGCTCGAGAAGCCAGTTTGATTCCCAGGTCCTCACCTATGGAACCAGCACAGGAGAAAGCCCCAGCCACTCTCTATTTTTTTTAAGCAGATAGGATCTAGGAATTTTTCCAAGATAACATTTCTGGGATTGCCCGTGGGCATCTTGTTACACCGGTGCTGCCCAGTCCCCTTGCAGGGGCACCAGGCGTTCGGGCAGCCCAACGCACCCTCAGCCAAGCTGGGCTTTGCCGTTCAGGCTGCGTGCAGGAGAGACTAACCCGCGATGTCCGAAAGGGGTTTGTGCCAGCTACAGAAACAGAACAGACGGGAACCTCCGGCAACCGCTGCAAATTGTTCCAATTGTTTCCTGCTCCATGTGTTTATTTAAAGGGCCTTTTGCACTGTTTCTGACCAGACAGGAGCCATGTGTCTCACCACAGCGACCCTTTTATGTTTTGATAAAAGCGTAGCTTTGTTTTGAATATGTGACTGCAAGGTAAACATAAAAGAAAAATAAATCCTTCCATTAAATTATTTGCAAACGTGTTCTCTCCCTATCCAGCGTGCAAAGCCAAAAAAGGCAATGCAATATCTAACCGTTTGAAAATATTTTTAATACGCAGTCTGCCTAGATCACCTGAACCGGTCTAATCCAAACAGAGCTGCATCAGCCTAGAGAGCAAACATCACACCCACCTGCGGTGCCCTGCGCCGGGCCGCTGCGCTCCGCTGGTTGCAAAACCAGACCCTTCCCGCCCAGTAAAACACGCACCGAGGAGAAGAGGGTACCGGTGCCTCTCCAAGTGCGGTGAGTTCGCTGTCCCTGGCACGCTGCTGCACTCCCAAGTATTTGCCTGGCCGAGAGTCAAAGCTGGAAGCGGGGCCGTGTGTGCCAGACCCGGCCGTGGCGAGGCAGCTGGGCCTGCAGCCTGCTGGGGAGCGGGTGGGAAAGGGCTGGGCAGCGAGGAGCCTCCACGCAGGACTTTAAAATGGGGAGGACAGCTCTAAAATGGAGCTCTAAAACCCTGGGGACAGTTCCTCCACCTTTTGATGTCCCGCTTGTGGGTCACCTTGAGGATGATGGAGACGGCGTGA